AGCAGTAATTAAAGTTTATTGCCTCGAGCTTGTAAATGAATATCGTTATTACATTATTTTGTTAGTTTTTTAGTTGCCTCAGTTTTTATACTGAAAACTTCTGGTTATTATGTGGTTGACAGCTTTTAACTTTCTTAAAGTTGGATTGGAAGTAGTGGAAACACATGGATGTCCCTTTTTAAACTGTACAGTACACTACAGCTATAAGGGTACCCCACTTTAAACTGTATTCTAACACTACACCTATAAGGGTACCCCACTTTAAACAGTATTCTAACACTAGAGCTATAAGGGTGCCCCACTTTAAACAGTATTCTAACACTAGAGCTATAAGGGTGCCCCACTTTAAACAGTATTCTAACACTAGAGCTATAAGGGTAGCCATCTTTAAACAGTATTCTAACACTACACCTATAAGGGTACCCCACTTTAAACAGTATTCTAACACTAGAGCTATAAGGGTGCCCCACTTTAAACAGTATTCTAACACTAGAGCTATAAGGGTAGCCATCTTTAAACAGTATTCTAACACTACACCTATAAGGGTACCCCTCTTTAAACAGTATTCTAACACTAGAGCTATAAGGGTGCCCCACTTTAAACTGTATTCTAACACTACAGCTATAAGGGTACCCCTCTTTAATCTATATTCTAACACTACAGCTATAAGGGTACCCCACTTTAAACTGTATTCTGACACTACACCTATAAGGGTACCCCACTTTAAACTGTATTCTGACACTACACCTATAAGGGTACCCCACTTTAAACTGTATTCTGACACTACACCTATAAGGGTACCCCACTTTAAACTGTATTCTAACACTACACCTATAAGGGTACCCCACTTTAAACTGTATTCTAACACTACACCTATAAGGGAACCCCACTTTAAACAGTATTCTAACACTACAGCTATAAGGGTACCCCACTTTAAACAGTATTCTAACACTACAACTATAAGGGAACCCCACTTTAAACAGTATTCTAACACTACAGCTATAAGGGTACCCCACTTTAAACAGTATTCTAACACTACAACTATAAGGGTACCCCACTTTAAACTGTATTCTAACACTACAGCTATAAGGGAACCCCACTTTAAACAGTATTCTAACACTACAGCTATAAGGGTACCCCACTTTAAACAGTATTCTAACACTACAACTATAAGGGAACCCCACTTTAAACAGTATTCTAACACTACACCTATAAGGGTACCCCTCTTTAAACAGTATTCTAACACTACAACTATAAGGGTACCCCACTTTAAACTGTATTCTGACATCACTATTACACTATAGTAGAGATAGTTACGGCTATCTACAGAACAACACAATATATTATATGTAACAGTGTAGAAACTCTCCTATCTCATAGTGTTATATTACTGTAGATTTTACACTGAATTGTGGCAGACCAAGTGGAAATATCTCTTACTTAATGAAGTACAATGTTGATAACATGAAAGGATTTTGATAACTTTGAAGTGTGTGTATATGTGTTTATTTATATTGTGAGTTTTAATTCATAACATTAAGGATTTTGATAACTTTAAAATCAGCATGTGTTTATTTATATTCAAGTGAAGGAAAAAAGAATTGATTTAATAAGAAAAAAAGGATTTTGATAACTTTGAAGTGTGTATATGTGTTTATTTATATTGTGAGTTTTAATTTTGATAACTTTGAAATCAGTATGTGTTTACTTATACATGTGAAGTGAGGTTTTCATTCATATCATCAAGGAATTTGATAACTTTGAAATCAGTTTGTGTTTTGATTGAAATGATAAGTTATTAAGGAGTTTGATAACTTTGAAGTGTGTGTATATGTGTTTACTTATATTGAAGTGAAGTTTTAATATTGATAATATTAAGTATTTTGATAACTTTAATATCAGTATGTGTTTACTTATATTGAAGTGAAAAATATGATAGTTGAAGTCCCAACATTTAGGATTTTGATAACTTTGAAGTCAGTATGTGTTTACTTATATTGAAGTGAAAAATATGATAGTTGAAGTCCCAACATTTAGGATTTTGATAACTTTGAAGTCACTGTATGTGTTAACTGAGGTGAATGAAAAAAAATTGTAATAAGAAAAGAAGGATTTTGATAACTTTGACGTGTGTATATGTGTTTATTTATATTGAAGTGAAGTTAAAATTCACAACATTAAGGAATTTGATAACTTTGATAACTTTGTTTGGAAGCTCTTCTTACAAATAGTGGAATTCTAATTGAAGTCCTCAATCAAAATGTAAATTTTGATATTAAATTTAGCCCGAGTTTTTCAATGGGAAGTCCCAAATCAAACTAGGAAGAATTTTGATAACTTAAAAGAAGGTGAAGGATGTATTTTTGAAGAAGTCCCAAATTCTGGTAACTTGTTAAGGGAAGCTCTGGTATATACAAGCGACAGTTGGAAAGTAATTGAATTTTGATAACTTTATAAGTTGAAGTCGTGATACTGTGACTTTGCCTCGCTGAAACGATTCTTGTGTTTTATTGAAAAAAATGAAACAGTCTTCTTTTTCAACATTTAGGTTTTTGACAATTTTGATAAAAAATACTGTCAAAAAATTTATTTGAATCCTAAATTTGACATTTTTTATAATTATTTCTGTCAAACTTATATATAAAAAACAGAAATTGGACCTCTGTTAAATTTATAACTGTCAAAATTCTCTTTAGGAATTTGACACTTTTTCCCCAAGTTCTTCCTTAATATTTATTGAAAAACTCGTTGCCACGGTAATCAAAAAAATCCATTTTTATCTGAATTTTTGGAAATTTTAAAAGATTTCTGATAAAATTGTT